GTGGCAGGCAAGAGGCGAATCCCAGCGCGCTGTGGCCTGCAAGGGGCCTTTTGGCAGGGCRSGCTGTGGGCRSTGGGAGGAAAGGCTCCCTGTGCTGGCGAGCGAGCCCTTCTTGCCAGGGCTGGGAGGAAAGGGAGAGTCCCCGTGGGGGAAGAGCAGAGCGGGTGTCTCGCGGGGAGGCCAGCGGCGGACAGCCCCTCGTCGCTGGATGTGGCGGGGTGTTGCTCTCCCTCGACAGCTCAAGCAGGCTGTGCTGAGGGCGGTGGGTGCCACGCTGGCCGTCCTCGTGCACGGGGACCAGTACCGCCAGCACGCCTGGGAGCAGCTCCTCTGGCTCCTGCACCAGTACCGAGAAGTGCGAGAGCCCTTTGGGGTGACCTTGGCGAGGCACTGCATGCCGAGGCGCTGGGGGAGCTGCAGGGTGCCAGCGGGAGCCGAGTCCCTTTGCGGGGCAATGAGGGCAGGGGGCCCTGCGGTGCCTCCCAGGGCTGCGAGGAGCTCTGGCAGTGCATCCGGGCTGTGCTTTCTGCAGCGCTGCCTGATCCGCCTTCCCCGGGGGTCACCCTCTCCCTCCCGCGTTCCCTTGCAGAGCCTGCGCCGTTTCCTCGCCGCTGTGGCTGGCAGTGGGGCGCGCGGGCCACGGGCCAAGGTGCTGGCCATCACCGCTGCTGTGCACGAGCAGGTAAGGCCTGGGGCGCCTCCCTGGCCTGGGGCTCCTGGGCGGCCTTGGTTGGGGCCCAGCTCTGTCTGTGCGCGCCCAGAAATGCCCACGAGATGTTTCGGTTTCTTTTCCTGCCCTTCTCTCTTCCAATGCAACGTGCTCTGAAACACACTTTATTTGGCCCAGCTCTGCGAGGAGATTGACCCGCCGCGGGCAGAGCACAGAGCAGAGCTGTGCCGCTGCATGGTGCTGCAGGGTAAGGAGAGGAGAGCCGGGGCCGCGCTGCCGTGTGCCAGCGGCTCTCGCAGAGCTGCCCACATGGGAAGGTGCTGGGCTCTCTTGCTCAGCACCGTTTCTTTCTTCCTCACAGCCCAAATGTGCCCCGAGGAGACAATCGTCTTCCTGTACTTCAMAYTGAGGAACGGGAGCAAGGCCGATCGTGTGGCAGCCGTGGCAGTGCTGCAGGCTCTGGTCAGCTCTGATGGTCAGTAGCGTGGGCAAGGCAAAGAGTGTCCCCCGGGAATGTACTGCTTCCTTTGAGGCACCGGCTGGTGCCCCTGTTGTGTGCTGCTTGTGTATGGGAAGCCATGGAGCCGTGTTGAATCCCTGCGGGACGCGGGGCTTGGCTTCAGCACCACCTCTGCTGGTGTCTTGCAGTGCCTGAGGTGCGGGAGAAGCTGGCCGTGTTTGCAAAAGTGGCCGAGTCCGTGTGCCATGACCCCTCGGTGCAGGTGAGCTGGTTTGGGCAGGGCCTTGCTATTGCAGGAGCAGAGCAGTACTGTCCCAAGGCGGAGCCTGGCAAGGCCATTGCCCTGGGCTAAGGCAGGCTCGGGGGCAGGAGCCAAGTGGCAGCAGCAGGAGCAGGAGCAGCACAGCAAGGGCTGCTGCTGCCGCGGCCTCTCCGTCCCGGCCTGGGCAGAGGGGCTGCAGCGCAGAGCAGCGCAGCGAAGCCCCGGCTGCTCCCCTGGGGCTTTGGGCCAGTCCGCGAGTGCAGCCCCCCGTGCCTGCAGGTGAGGAGGGCAGYGCTGCATTTCCTCGGGGAGCTGCTGCGCTGCGGCGGCCTGGGCTGCCTCTCGTGGGACGCGCTGGGGCACGTCTTCCGCGCGTCCTGCCGCGCCTCGCACAGGCTGCTGAGGCAGAGCGCAGCGCCGCGGCTGCGTCTCGTGGCTGGGCCGCACTGCTGGGGGTGCCCCTGAAAGAGGGGRGCCCGGTGCRGCTGGGCTGAGCGTACCGGTGCCATGGTGGCGGGGAGGGCTCCCCATCGGCATGCACCGTGGGGCCTGGGAAGGGGCAGTGCCAAGTGTTGCCCACCCTGTCCCGCAGGCAACGGGGAATCTCAGTGCTGGGGAGGCCCGTGAAGAAAGGGCTGTTGGGCGCCGTGGGGTGCCCAGTCCTGGTGCACTTAACGCTGGAGTTAGGGGCAGTCGGAAAGAGCCCCGGGAGCAAGTGCTGCCCTGGGGAGCTGGGCAGCAGCCAGGCTGCCCTGGAGCCTCACATGGTATGGTCAGCAGCCAGGGCGGCAGTGCCGCTTGGCGCGTGCTTTCCAAGTGGTGCTGCAGTGCGAGGGGGATTGGTGCCCTTCGGGGGGGCCCATGGAGCCTTGTGGGGTGCTGAGCCGGGGTGGGAGCAGTGTTAGCAGCATGGGGAGCTGGGGGGAGCTGGCTGCTGCCGGGCCGTAAGGCTGTCCCTGCAGTGAGAACTGGAGGGAGTGAAAGCCCCCTGACTGTCAGGG